CTGACTTAATGCAACTTGAAATCATTAGATTATATGGAAAAAATCTCCTCCTACAATAGCAATCAGTGGATGTTGAATGGATGGCTAATAAAACGTATGTTGATTAATTTAATTCCATTATCTGTAGGTGAAAATACAGGCCTATTTATAGTCCTAAACATGCACTTTTCACTTTGTTTTATGATCTTTCCTGATCATAATGCGTTTTCCAAATGTCTCTTGCAAAGTCATGTCTTCAGAAGTCAACTGATAATTTAAGAAGATATGTCTGTCAGAGGGGTCAGGAATTATAATGATCTGTCATGAAACTACAATGGACACGCACATGCTTTATTATATCTTCTGTGTCATATGTATCATATAATGTATATAATAATGTATTATATAATAATATATAATAATATACTTATTTCTGGTCCTTTGGTAGCAACAAACATCAATGGCCTGTGCCATCAGAAAATGTTTCAATGCAGGACAGCAGTTGCAGTTGCAGTTGCAGTGATGCAACAAGACAATTAACCAAAGCACACAAATAAAAACCAACACTAAAAAATATTTGAAATCCTTTTGAATTGATGTAAAAAGTACAAATGATTACAATTGAAAAAAAAATGTAAAAAGTACAATTGTTTGTGTGTGAACAATTATTCAGTTTGTCTGTAATTGTTATTCAAATTAAGATCACACCACATTTTATCAATGCTGAAACTGTTTTTTTTTTCAAAGGTTTCACAAACTTATTCTTGCCACTTTTGATTTATGGCTCCCTAAAGACAAGTTAAATGGTAAATAGCACCAATCTACACAGGAATGCTCATCGAATCTCTTTGGATTATCAGGAAGCACTTGACTGTTGGCGCTGCATGTCAGACTGGTCAGATCATCAGACAAGAGGAGATGATTTTACAGGAGAATATAGAATGTCTTCAACCTGTGATGCAACAAGACAATGATTTTTTCAAAGGTTTCACAAACTTGTTCTTGCCACTATAACTTAAAGACAAGTTTAAGGGTAAAGAAATTAATACTAATAAAAATGTAATGAATATCAAACATTTTAATTTTTAAACATAATTTTGTTATAGCACCAGCCAGCCATCAGCCAGCAGCAGGCAATCAGATGATGTTACACACAGACTCTCCCAAAATAACACAGGGACAGAACAGCAAAAACTATACAGGGTCATAACATAACTTATATGTCTCTATATGCATTTGAATAGTTACAATTTTTAAGATTTTAAAGAAACATTTATGACCATTTGCGATTTGTTATCACAAATGGTTTATATGTTTCTTTATTCATTCTAGGGTTGACATTGCACTGTCTGTTAATTTAAACTGAACATTTGCTATAAATCACCTTTGTGTACATAGTGCTATTTACTTATATTTATAAATATAATTACAGAAATATAAATATTTTATTCATTTTTATGTCTAAGTATATGTATATTCAGTTATAATATGTTCTGTGTAAAGTTATATATACTTTCGAAAATGATAGGCCTGTATAACTTAAAACAAACATTCAATAACATAAATAGATGTTACAATTAATAATTGTGCAATATGGATCATTAGCATTTACTTAATGACATTTAATTTAACATTTATTAATTTACTTTAGCACAGCAGATATAAGTAAAGCAAAGATAAAAATAGGAATATGTGGGTAAATCTGGACTTAAATCTGCTTTAAAAAATATAACATGTTTGAACACGGCTAGGTTGAGAAACACGTTCAAAATTGTCGTCTTAATGCGGTCAAACTGTGCGTCTTTACACGAACCAAATAAACGCGGCAAAAACTAACGCCTTAACACGGCCAAAACGTGCGTGTCTACACGTACAAAAGAAACGCGTTCAAAATTGCCGCGTTAACGCGGGCAAATTGTGCGTGTTGACACGGTCACATTTCACGCTTTCCGTTTAAAGACATTTGGACCCCGGCCGCCTTCCATAGCCGATGCTCAGTGTTCTGTTCACTTGTACAGGTGAAAATGGACAGCTGTCAGCTGGAAAAAATCTTTCCATACAGGACACCATTATATGTTGCTGTCTGTCACTGCTGTATGTCTGCCTGAGGGTTCATGTGTATGTGTATATGTGTGTGTATGTGTGTTTTTGTGGTTTCCACAAAGAAATGTAGAAAACACAAAAGATTACAACACTGTAGAACATCACTGAATTAAATTAGCCTATACACTTTACATATAAATCACATTTCTTATCAATATACATTTAATGATTAACGATAAAGATTAATAATAAGGAAAAGAGGCACATTACAAATAGCCTACGTCGTTGAAGCCCGTCCTACTGTAGATAAACAGAACATCCCCGCTTATTAACTGACATGCATGTACCTCAAAGAAGCACAAATAAAGATATATAGGTGCAAACAGAATACAGTGACGTCAACCTTGGTTTTAATAAGCAGTTATTTTATGACACAGAACGCGTTGGTGAAACTCATGCATCTAGCAAGAACTTAATACACAAAATAGTCATATTGATTCAAGCATTTAACATTTATGAATGAATTAAATGTCAGTAATGAACAATACTGCACAAATTATAGCGATCACGAGGAAGGTCCTATTCTATCCCAAACGCGTACAGTAAAGTGGATATACAGCCTACAACACCCCATCAGTTATATTCAGGTCAATAGTGTCACCTGTTGGCGCAGTTTTGTAACTTAGATTTGTTATGTCGATATCACGAGAAAGCGATCACGAGGAAGGTCCTATTCTATCCCAAACGCGTACAGTAAAGTGGATATACAGCCTACAACACCCCATCAGTTATATTCAGGTCAATAGTGTCACCTGTTGGCGCAGTTTTGTAACTTAGATTTGTTATGTCAAGATCACGAGAAAATTAAGTCGTTATAATGAGAAAACAACTCGTTATGTCGATATCACGAGAAAATTAAGTCGTTATAACGAGAAAACACTCTCATTATGTCGAGATCACGAGAAAATTAAGTCCTGATAACGAGAAAACAAGAAGGGAACAAAAATAATGCATGGCCGCTTAGAACTTCCGTAATTTTCTAATACATTTATCTGCAATCATTCAGGTACTTGGACATGTGTAGAATATTGTGTTTTCGAGCAGAATTTACAAAAAAAAGAAAGAGCACAGTTGGCAACAGACAAACTGGCTATATTAACACATCACTGTTTTTAATATTACAGCTGCCAAGATTAAAGGCAGTTTCTGCGCTACTAGTGTCATCTAGTGGAACTACAAAAATAAAGTAAGTTTTCAAACAACCTTTGCAAATGCCCCTTTCATGTGGTACACTTCAACTAACTCAAACAACACAAACACAGCTCTTACGGGTCTATAAAAGTGAAGGCATGCCTCAACTAGGGATGGGCGTATCGATCCGAAGTATCGATATATCGATACTGACGCGAGTATCGAAAGTATCGATACTCAAACAAAAAATATCGATACTAAGATGTGTTTTATTTACCAGTGATTTTGTTTATTTAACAAAAAAATAATAATGCATACAATATGCATTGAATTGCACGAATACCCTTTGTTAGCGAGTAACTGTGTAGGATAGAACTATTTTCCTGCTCATCTGAACACACGCAAATGTTGCAAGACAGAACTAATCAATCAGAGAGCATTCACTCACTTCTGACAGTGCATTCACACAGGGCTGCGTTTCCCAAAAGTACCATAAGAAAGCAAGTATTTATAGATTTGAATAATGTGTAAACAAAAAACATATTTGAACCATGTGTAAACAAAAAATATAACCTAATAAGTTACCATTAAGGCGTATTGAATGTTAAAATGCATTTTAAACAAAAAGTTAAGTGATTATCATTACCCATTTTACTCTTAGTAATTTAATAATTTAATAAATTTCATAATTTAAAAGTTTAGTTCAGAAGTATCGAATCGGTATCGATATTGACGATACTGCCTTGAAAAATATCGGTATCGTATCGAAAACAAAATAAGTGGTATCGCCCATCCCTAGCCTCAACATGTAGGCAACTTTCAATAAAAGGTCCAACATATTAGGAATACTTTTACCTTAAGTTTCGCTTACCTGTTGAGAAAAAAAAAACAAAAAAAAAAACTTGAAACTCAAACATTTCATCAAATTCCTCAATCTTTGTTTACAAAACATGATGGTCATGAAATACAGTATCAGATTTTTATTTGATGTTTCTCTAGGTTACTTTATATAATGCACATTATACTGCACCAAAAAGGAGCTTCTTTACCTAACAGCAGTATTGTGATTGATGGACAGACATACGTTGTTCAGAACACACCTTCTTGATTACATATGATGATGACGCACGTTAAGGGGCGTGTTGAGGAGAATAGTGATGTCATGATTCTTAAGATTTTAAATCTGGGCATTTCAGAAGGGTAGAAAATAATAATTCTTATTGGGGAGTTAGTTTGAGTTCTGAAACTTGCATTATGTTTTCAATGTAGAAAAATCTCGTGTCTAAATATCAAGAATATTTTGATTCTCCATTTCATGACTCTTTAGCTTTTTTAAAATGACTATATGACAGAGCACTTGGCATTGATTATGTTCATTAATATTAATATCATATTGGCCAATTGGGTAACATGTATATCAAAATAAACAGATCATAGCATTTTCAAGCATTTCTAATTTGACTAAAATTACTGAAGCCAAAACTGCACTTCGAGACAGAGAAATAAACCCCAAAATAACTATTCTATAAATATATGATAAAAAAAAAAATTTGAGAAACTGACTAAATAGCTGTTACACAAGTTAAATGCTGTAAATATTTTAACATAAAAGTTTAAAAGGTTTTAGAGTTAACTTGGCAATATGACACACATCAAATAAAATCTTTTTTTTTCTTTACTTGTCTTTGTGTTGACATCTAAGTGCAGTAGTTTTAGAGAGCTTTAAGTACATAAGGATTACACTGGCTTAACGATTCTCAACATAACATATACAAATATGCTTCATCTCTGGGTCAATTCTGCTGCATAATAAAACGTTTCATTAGGAAATGTAACAATATTTATATAACATGGGCTGGTGCATATCAAATGTATTGCTTTGCCATTTAAAGACATTACATAACAGCATTAACATTGTACCTTTGGAATATGCTTACATCTGCACACACACATATACACACACACATATATATATATATATATAAACTGTCAACTTGAGCTTTGAATCCGTGGCAGAAGGAAGTAGTTCCGCACAAAAGAGGGTTTTATTAGGCACTCCGTTGTTTCTTGTTTAATTGCACACGTTCCGTCGAACTGTTGTATAAACGCAATATCACTCATACATATTTTTAATAATAATATTAATAATAATAATAGTAATAATAATTTTCTTGAACATACAACCTTGTTTTCCAGTCAAATGATATACATAATTGTCACAATTATACTCAAAATATAAGAGTTAACTTAATTCAAGACACATCTTGCTATTTTACACTGTATTCCATCTTGGCATTTTGATTATAGAATCAAATTTTACATAGGTAAAATGAACATTTTGAGGAGATTTACTTATTTTTACTGGAGAACAAGACAAACATTTTTCAAAGTGTGAAATGGCTTCTGCACCATTTTTAAATAAATTATAACTTGTCTCACACTCGGTGGTGGCAGTTTTGGCTCTCAGATTTGATATAAAATATGTAATTTCCCAAATAAGGGGCAATTCAGGTGCTTCAACTCATTGCTTCATTCTCTGTCACTATGAGTGCCCACTTGTCCAGCAGGGCTGCTGTAGCATGGTGTGATTTTAACGTGGATGAAGAGACTGGAGGGAGACATGCTAGAGCCATCTGCCTGCAGCAGATGAACATGTCTGTAACCTGCAGAACAGATGTTGTAGAATGAGTGTGCAGTCACAACAGAGTAGTTTGTGTTCAGTAAAAAAAATATATCAACAAATCATACCTGTCCGCATGCTTGTGAAAGGAAGTGTAAACTGACACAGAAAATCATTCTTGGTGGCGTAGTCATGGTCTTCAACCTTAAAGCGTACTAATACCAGCTCTGGCACATGAAGCTGGAACTTAAAGGTGCAGTCCCATCTGGGGTTGAAGCCTGAGGAGAATAATACATTTTTATTAACATATAATAATAACAAATAAAAATATAGCTACAAGCAGCAATTAAGGAACCAAACACAACAGAGGCTACTCATTAAAGAACAGGGGTCTCCAACCCTGCTCCTGGAGAGCTACCTTCCTGCAGACTTCCGTTCCAACCCTGCTTCAACACACCTGTCTGTAATCATCAAGTACCCTAGGGGTGTATTCCAGAAAGGAGGTTCAACAAACTCTGAGTTGAAACTTGAACTCTGAGTTTTCGGTTTCAGAAGAGCTGAACTGAGTTAGTTCAATCGACTCTGAGTAGGTTGACTCTGAGTTTAGCGCATGCACCACGACTATGAAAAGCCATGATCAATGGAGCTCCGAAATTATGATTCACCATGGCAACAACACCCGACAAAAAGACGACCGCATAATTCCAAGTCAATACGTCACTTTAATTCTTAATCACTTAAATTATTGAACTAATATTAATTTTCATGGTATTCCACAGGCAAAAAAGAAAAGAAAAAAAACCAAACAAACGTGGCAGCAGAAAAAAATTAAACATAAAAACAATTCAAGCAGGTAGAGCTTCAAGTGTAAAAGGGTCATGGGTGTAGGTTACATGACTTTACAAACATTTGACATTCAATAAATACTCAGTGTCTATTTCAATGTGCAGCGGATGCTCCTCCAATACATCCACAACATGCTGCTGTGGGCATGTAAGAGATATTGCTGCTGCTGCTCCTGCGGCAGAGCAAGTACCGAGACTTGCTACCTCCAATACATCCACAACATGCTGCTGTGGGCATGTAAGAGATATTGCTGCTGCAAACATAACATACATGAAATAACCCCTATATAGCATTTGAATCACCTCGTAGCAGATCTATATAGGTGGAGCTGGGGAAGGTGGAGGGTTTCTGAAGCAAGCTGCAACTGCTACAGCAAGCACTAGTCATATATTTGAATGTTGAGCAGCGAGCTCATTGGCTACCGATACAGGAGAGAACCAATCAGCTGTGCCATGTGATAATGATGTCATTAGTTCAGATTGAGTTAGACCTATCAGACTGCGCCATCTAGAGTTTCATGCCAGAACTCTGTATTTCTGTCATGACAACTCTCGGAGGGATTGGCATGCTAATGTACATGACAATGTTAATGTATTTGGTCTTGGCGGAATAGATCTGGGGTAAACAGACTCTGAGTTTCCGACAAAACTAAACCTCTCGGTAAGTTACCATAGTAACTTACTCTGTGAACCTAACCTGGTCGGGAGCAGGGGTGAATTCCAGAAAGTGGTTTTTGTTGGAAACTCAGAGTTTGTTAACCCCAGAAAAGGGAAACTCAGTGTTTTCGGTTCCAATAAAAGACAAAACTAAACCTCTCGGTAAGTTACCATAGTAACTTACTCTGTGAACCTAACATGGTCGAGAGCAGGTTTTCTTCGGTAAACCCAGAGTTTCTTTCGGTCTCCTCCCCCTTTTTAAAGAGTAAGCGATGTTTAAATACCTCATTCATTCATTCACGCTGCAAAAATGGTTTTTATTGCTGAGATTTTTGCCTTATTTCAAGTTCAAATATCTAAAAATTCTTAAATCATGATGCATTTTCTATATAAGAAAAAAATATAAACGATATTTAGTCTTGTTTCCTGGGGGTAAACAAGTCTAATTAATTGCCAGCAGGGTAAGAAAGATAATCTTAATGAAAATGGAAACAAGATTATTTTTCTTACCGGACCACTTTCATTTTCATCATGCAGACACGGTAAATGTGACAAAATTGGCATGTCTTTTTATAAGGGATCCTGTAGGTTGCATTCATTCGCGGGGAATTACATTTACATCAGGAGAGGATTTAATTTAATTTGATCTAATTTATTTATTTTGCCATATCCACATGCATATTCACTTGATAACATCTTGTTGCAACCTCTAAGTAACCTAATAATTAGAATTTCCTTTAGGATTTCCAGTGTGGTTGGAAGCATTGATTACACACACATTCTCACCATCACACCTT